AAGGTGATTATTTTGATAAAGAGTTATTTTACTTTTCAGGAATACATGTGGGGATAACGTGAAGATCACCGATGGATTGTAGTTTCCTCAGGAAGTCAGTGGTGTGTCGAAGATAGCTGGGAGTGCTGGTAGCGTAGGGTCTTAGGACAGAGTCTACATAACCAGACAAGCCTGATGTTAGGGTGCCAATGCCTGAGATGATGGGGCATCCAGGATATCCAGGTTTATGGATCTTGGGTAGCAAATAGAATACCCCTGGTCGGGGTTCTAGGCATGTGTCTGTACAGATTTGTTCCTGTGCTTTGTCAGCGAGTTTTTTTAGCAGATGGTGTAGTTTCTTTAGGTAATCCTCAGTGGGATCAGAGGATAATGGCCTGTAGAATGTGGTGTTAGAGAGTTGTCTAGCAGCCTCAATATATATATCTCCTCAATATATGTTCCATTCTATATGCATACAATTTGAAGTGTAGATTAAATAAGAGCATCATGAACTTTTGTACTAAAATGTTCAGCACTGAAGCAATTTGAAAATGGCAAAAGTCTTACTTGAGCACTGAAAAGATGTCTTGTCATGGCTGGGTTTGCAGATAAGTTCACAAGTACTTTCAGAACTTGAATCTGAAATGAGGAACATAATAGTTCACATGGAAAAACTCTTAAAATAAGGGGAGGAGAATCCTAAATCTCACTGTCTCTTTCACCAGTGCCTTCCCCCCTCCCTATAACTTTGCATGAAACAGTCTCCCTACCAGAATTTGCCACACTATCACCCTCTAATTCCACATAAAGATTAACTTCTTCAGTGATGCCCACAAGAAAAGAGCCACCCTCCACCCCACGTCTAAGCTTCTTGTGTCTCCTTGCTTTCTCTGCATCTGTAAGCTCTTTGGTTCTGGGACTGTCTTCATTTACTGCTTTTGAACAGAGAGAAGCAAAGTGTCAGCCTTTAACAATTAATTCATTGTAGCTAAAGCAACTGAGGAGGAAAAATACTGCAGGAGCAAATTCTGCATGTGAAGCGGAGTAGCGATCGGAGTGAAACTGGTAAGCTGGGCTGTACTGCTTCTTTGGAAGCAGTGAACCTGGGAATACTGCAAGTGTCTAGCAGAAGGGGCTGGACACTCTAGGAGATACTCAGAGGGATCAGGGGCTGGAGTGTGCCCATCACTAACCTGTAGAGAGACAGTGAGGCTTGCATAGGCCTGGGGGGGGGGGAGTGGGGAGTATTTATGTTGCCCATGGCGGATGGATTTGGAGACACAGCAGGCACAGTCAAGGCTTCCTCATGCTAAGGGCAGTTGGTAGCAAGGTGCCTCACAACCCTGGGTACCCCCGGGAAGCATCACAAGGAGAAGAAAAGATTCACATTATTCCTGGTAGTAATTTACAAATATACATTTTCTTTTCAAATACCACTAAGAAGCGGTATCTTCTACATGTGCACACAGGTCTTCTATTAGCATTGGGACTATGACAAAAATTCAGATGAGCCTATACTCATAGTAATTATGGCCACAGACATACAGAAGACAAGTCTTCTGTAAGTCAAAGGGCAAATTTCAGCTCTCAGATCCACAAGATGGCTGTTGACTGTGATGACCTACTCTCCCTGTATACACAACTTCCAGGAGAGCCATATTATAAACAGATATATTAGATAAAGAACAACAGAGTTAAGATCACCATGTGATTCTGAGAACAAACCCTTGCTCACTATCCCCAGAGAGATTCATGCAACAGTGGAGCCCTCCACATGCAGATCTCCTTTGCCCTGTGCTGGAGTGGTGGTGATCTCCTACCTCCATGGCACTATGTACTTAGTGGGATCCTATAGAGGGCTCTCATTTGTTTTGGGGTGGTGCATTCCACAGGCAGAGAAGGGATGAATGGAGCTTTATTTCCCACAGCAGCACCACAGAGATTAGCTAGGAAAGGTAATAAAGCTTGTGGTATTATTATCTGTTCCATACTCTCCCCATCTCTGTGCAGGGCCAACACCCTTTATAATGGGGTCCATGGGGCAGTTGAAACTATGAGAGCCACTGATAGCATGACTCCATTTTCCCCGATAGGTCATATAGTGGAAGGGGGTGGTGGGGTTTCTAGAGCCAGTGCAAAGGCACAGGACTGCTGTGTGGATGGCTTTGGTCTCCTATAGCATCCAGCAATACGGGGGCAAAAACAAGGCTCTATCTCCAGAGAGGGGGAATACCCCGCCCTGGGAATGATTTGGGGTGAGAAACTCTGCAAGAAGATCCTTGTGAAGTAATTTTCCCTCCTGTGGGAATTTCCATTGGAGAGGACAATAGAGAAATGTTTGCAAGTCCTTTACACATTCTCCACTAGTTATAGCTACTGAACTGTAAAATTATTTTTCTTTAAAAAAAAAATACACCACAGAGTACCTTAGAAACTGATGGATTAAAAAAAGAAAGCAAATCTAAACTGGAAGACATCTCAGTCAAAGTTAAGCAGCTTGGTATCTGGTTATGATAGTACAGTAAACAGTACCTGTGTCCTTTCATTTCCTTCTGAAAGCAAATGAAGAAAGCACGGAATTGCATTTGTCATCATATGGTGGTAGTCATTGGTAACAGACATATTTGTTAATAATCTAAGTTCAGCTAGCTGCAGATCAGAGTTCAAAGGTGATAACTCAATCTCCTTACAGACTTGTAAAATGTATACCTTAAAGAACAGAAAAAGAAATGGTTAAATGTACAATTTGTTGATCCAGCCAAAGAAGTTCACAGTTAACATCCCAATGTCAGTAGTCACGATGGTTCAAAATCATGATTCCCAGAAGCAACAGGATACATAAATAAAACAATGTATAATCAGTCTCATCTTTGATCAAGAACACGTAAATAAGGCACTAGCAGCTAAATAAGCTACGTTAAGTTTTAGCAGAAACTATAATTAAAGGAATACTATCAATTTGATTTTTTTGTAAAGATTAGTTTAAAAAAAAATCAGTTTTCTGATAGAGCTACCTTTAGACAATTTGTTCTGATTTAAACAAAAAAATACCTGCTCCTCTACATAAATTTACAAGGGCCTTTTAGACAGGCCCAAAGTAACATCACTGAATGGCTCTGTCAGACTATGCATTCATATGATTCCCACCCCATAGTATCTGAATACACCCCCTACACCAGTATTTAAAAACTGGAACTAAAATGTCTCTTCCTTCCCACCCCACAAGAAATAGGTACCTGTAACTGAATTGCTTACAGGGTTTTGTGTATTTGTATATGTGATAAATTTATGGAGGCAAAGCTAGGCAGAAGAAATGAGTTTTGCATTTAGTTGCAAAAATGGTTAGTTACATGGTCATTCTTATCTCTTGTAGCAGTGAAAGTCCTCCATCTCCACTTTCTGATCAATAGTTTCCATTTACAATGGAACATAGCTTTTGTAAGGGTTCATGGTTGTAGAGGGATAGGTTTGACTATTAGGACTTGTACTGGACTCTGTATTTAGTGGGGAGCCAGTGCACAGTGGAGTACTGAGGTGATCTGTTAACAGCCACCTATGTTGCTAAGCAAATGGGCTGCTATATTTTGTACCAATGGGAGCTTATTCAGGATGTGAGATTTGTTTTTAGAGAAGAGTTGCAATAATTAAACCTGGATCACTCTGGTCAGGTCTGAGTCTGAATGGATCAGACACAATCTTCTGGCCTGTTAGAAGTAAAAGAGGCTGTTCTTGCTACCATGGCTATTTGGGCATCCAATAGCATTGAAGAATCATAAACAACCCCAAGTCCACAAACTGATTTAACAATCAGAACTGATCAGACCATGTAGACAAAAATGTTTAAATGGAAAAAAAATTAAAATGTTCATGAAATAGTTTTTCTATTTTCTAACCAACTCTAATAATGGGGAAGTTAAAGAGGAGGCACACCCCTTTTCCTGTCAGCATTTCTTCAGTCTTGCCAGAGTTCAACTTTAGCCAGCTGCTGATTTCAGATAAACATCAGAAAGCTGAGAGATTGTGCTGTTAAGATTTGACGTAAAGGAGATATAGAATGGATTGATGTGTGAGTGTTGCTGGGACTTGGGAGAGTTGGCAAGACAACAGAGGTTCAACTGAGATATTGAACAGTATATATGGAGTGCACTGAGCCTTGTGTGATTCAGTAGGGAAGGAATTTGGGGATGAAGTCTAGCAATGACCATCTGCATTTGGAGTGAGACTAATTGTTTTGGCCTGTTTCTGTTGTTTCTTAGAAACAGGACCATAGTATATGGTAATCAATGGCATCAAATGCTGTAAATAGGTCCAGCAAGATAGTACAGGCAGGAGGATGTCAGCCATCAAAGGAGCAGCTAGTTCTGTCATTGTCCTGACCTCAAGCCTGACTGAGAGGGATCCCATTTTCAGTGAGCTGACAGATGGCTTTGGAGACTTTTTGCTAGCTTTTTGATTGGATAAAACACAAGGTATGTGTGTTTGTGTTAGACACTAGGTGATAGTTTGCAAGGTCTCTAGCACTGAGCAATCTTTTTTTAGTAATGGTTGGACTATTGCATGTAGTAATGTGTGTGATAAATTACAAAAGGAGGAATTAAGAATCTTGGTTAGTTAGGGGCTCAAAGTGTTTTCTACTCTTACCACCCAGAAAAGGCAGGCATCAGTCACAGGTGTTGGCCTCAGATACCATCAGTGCTTTTGACTACTTGTGTGAATCGGCCAAATTCTTGAAAGACTAATTGAAGGATGTTGCTCTCTGCTTGTTCTCAGTACCTATCAGGTACATGATCTCTCAAATTATTTCTTGCAGTAAGCGTTGCTGTGTTCGAAGGTTGAATGGAGGCAATCTGGTCTTAAGAGAACAATTTATGGTCCAAAAAAGTTATGCCAGGCATGACTTTGCTATCTCCATGGCAGAGGAAAGAGAGAATCCCTTTGCCTCCTTCATGCCAATAGCACAGATTAGTAAAAATTTCTTGTTTCTGAGTGTCTCCATCAAACCATTATCTCCACCCCCAATATTTGGAGTTTTTTTCCTTCCTGCTCTTTTTTTACAGGCTGAACTACGATAATATGTAGATTGCCAGCTGGGAGAATGTGTGTTGGTGATGGTGTGTCTATAGCAGTAGTCAAGGAATGGTTGAATTGCTTTACCAAGTCATATACTTTTATTGACCTCTTTGCTGGGTAAAGTTTTCTTTAAGTAAACTCTGGAATTTGGGAGGGTACAAGAATTTCTTAAGTGGACCAGAGCAGTGCTTTCCTTTTGTCCTATGAAAGGAATAGTTATTTTTCAGGAAGTGGGCTGATCAAGATATAGGGGTAGCTGTGTTTCTTATGCCTGAGGATCTAATCTACAGCATGGACACCTGTGCGTGTAGAAACCAGGGACTATATTTTTGGGCCCACACACCTTCCTCCTCTGCCTCTCTGC